CAATTCCACCAAAACTTCAGAAATATCTTTGACCTATAATTGGACACACGACTGCCAAGTTTCATGAATCTGACTTTATTATTTTGCCGAATATAAAAAATTTGCTTTTGGAGTTGTATGGCAGCCACCCGAACCGGTACAGCTATCTCATTAAAATTTTTAGAGCATATGTAGAATATAATTGGACACATGCATACAAAATTCTATATTTGTACCTTTATTAGTTTTTGAAATAATTAAAATAAACTCTTTGGCAGCTCCCCGAACCCGTTGTTCGAATTGGTCCAATAACAATAGGGTTCGTCCTTGGCACAAAAGAAACAACTTGTGAAAGTTTTGTGTCGATTGCATTATTCGTTTTTGAGTTATCTTTCGATCGGACGGACGGACGGACGGACAGACGGACATGTCTAAATCAACGCAGAATTTTACGCTGAGCAAGAATATATATATATGTCCATACCGCAGATGACTCCTTCAAGTAGTTACAAACTCCATACCAAAGTTAATATACCCTTCACGAAGTGCAGGGTATAAAAAGAAATTTTTATCGTTAAAAAATTTGTAAAAAGTTAAAGAAGTTAATTATGTATGCTTCTTTATATAACCTGTAAGGTTTTTTTCTTTCAATGCGTTATATTGATTGTTAACTTCATGTGGGTACAAATTTCTGCTTTAAATACTCAAAAAAATAGTTAATAATTTCAGATTTCTTGCATAAGAAAATGCAATTATGAAGACAGGATTTTATGTTTGTAATTAACATATTATATCTATTTGCAGTCAAAAACAATGGACTCTCAAATAATTGGTTTCAAACAGCTAAGGTTTTTAATTAGAAAAGGTATTCATTAATTGCTTTTTAGAATATTTTTTTCGTGTTATATAACAAGAAATTTGTAATTCAAAAAGCTTCTTGAACTAATAAAATCTTTCATCTTCTTAAATCAATATGAAACGGTTAACAACTATTATGAATTTTCGAACATTCGTGCAACGCGGAATAAGTCTTTATAAATAAACATAATAAACATGATGAAATTAAACTTAAATAATATTTGCATGACTTCATCGTCTTGTCGAATCATTCCATTTCATCACTGTTTCTCTACATTTCACTATATTTTATTCCACTTATCCTCGTTCCCAGGTGTTGTAATGCCATAGATGTCTTAAACTGCATGGAATAATTATGAGAAAGTCGATTTCACATTAACAGGCAATCCCGTATACGAAAACCGAATAAAAGTTTGATCATTATTGCTACTTGGTTTTTCTATGTTTTCTCAACGTGTTAGATCATGGTTGACCAAGGGTAATTCTGGACTTTTTTGGATTATACCAAGAATATGTCTACAATTGATATTTTTATATCTATAATGGCATACCCATTAAAATTTTTAACAAATAGAGTATAGAAAAAATATAGAAATAATTAATAAAACAAAATACTAGATGTAATTGTGAATAACACACTTAAGGCGAAAAAAATATATAGTCGTACAGCAATATACTTTATCTTGGATTAATGACACTAAATGTTTGTACATCAACGTATTATAGTTAGTGTTCTTGTTATTGTTTGTCGTTTAAATAACAGTAGAGTAAGTGCGAGTAATGTCGTATAGGCGGGTAATGTCGTATACCCATTTTATTTTTATTATTTTCTCGGCAACCACAGCATATTTTTTCATAAAGCCTTTAAGCCAATCTTTTCCAGCAGTTTTATGTAATAACGAGAAACTATTCGGAATATTATTTTTTTCAGCTAGCTGAAATGCTAAAGATCTGGCATCACGACGAGTAAGTCCCCAGAAACGACTTTCCATTTCGCGAAAATATTGGACTAACTGGTCTTCAATTTCTACACCAAAAACTGGTTTCCTACCCAGACGTGTTGCAAATATTTCATTTATTGTTTTTGAGCTCCGTGCATAATTTTGCAAAGTAGTATGAGGCACTCCATATGTTTTTGAAGCCAGTAAAATGCCCATTGCTCCACCACGAACTAAGAGATTTGGTCATAAGCTCTTACTTTCATTCCCTTTTTAGGCATTGTCAGGTTAAAATAAAGTTTCAAATTAAAATTAGATATGTGCTGCTAATGTTGTATAGTATACCAAAATACCCTCATTAAGGTATACCACTTTACCCGACAGGGTACATTTTTTCAAATTTACAAAAACAATATAAGAAAATAAATGAATTACTACACCATACCTTTATATATCAAAATTCAAACTAAAATTAATAAATTTACAGCGCATCCAGTTTCATACGGTGACAAATTTCGACTGAACAAAACTTTTAATTTTCCTGTAAAAAAAAGTCAACAAAACAAAAAAACAAAAAAAATTATGTTACTTTCAAAGTAGAACGAAATTGAACATGATTAGACAAGATTCACTTTATTCAATTGCTAAGCTGTAAATTCTGTTTATACAGATTTTTCTTACACGTTCAGTATCTATACATATTGTTTATTTGTGCATTAGACATAGTATTTGTGAGATACTCGTATACGTGACTGCCGTTAGAGAAACATCTTCAATTTCGGACTGAATTTTTTCAAGAAATAAAAAATTAATATACACTTTGCTATATAAAAGTTTTTTATTACCTGACCAATAATACTGTGGTTATAGCACTGGCCCTTGAACTGAAGGGTCTCAGGTTCAAAGCCTGGTCAGGTAACTATAAAAATTATATTCAATATTATACAGCTTTAAATACATTACATATGAAATAAAAAATTAATATCAACTAATTGCCATATTTCGATGATATCCATTTTCAAAATTTGTAGTTATAATACAAAAAAGTCTGATGCTGTGAGCACATAACCAACAGCAATGTCTACTCAGGTGAAAGTGTTGCAGAAGATTATAAAAATGTCATTTAAAGACTTCCTTCCAATTTTTACGGCGTGACATACCTAGAAAAATGTAAATTTGCCTCTTGGTAGAGTTTCGCTTTGTGTCATGCGAATTTCCTGAAAAGCTCGCTAATTAGTTTCGGTAACAATCAGAGCTCAAATAACAAATTTCAAGGAATTCCATTAATTCGTTCTGTTATTATGGTAAAAAATGTAAAATATGCCCCTAATTTGGTTTCCGAGCCCCGATCGTTCCAAAAAATTCATTGTTTTAACACTGCAATTTAAATATTAAATTTCAAGGAAATTGATTGATTATTTCTCTTTATATGGGCAAAATCAAAAATTGGCCTGCAAAAGAGTCCAATTCCCAGAGCTTGATATATCCCAAAAGTTGATCTATCCTTGCCATAGTCGAAATAAGCTTACATATAAAATTTCATCAAAAGTGGTTCAGCTGAACTTGAAAAGTTGACAAAAATAGTTTATTTACACTTCCCTACCATGGAAAAGTGCGTTCCCATAGAAAGCTCAATATGCAAAATTTGGTGCCATCACATAACCTACCTTATTGCGTACACAATGCGGTTGCTATAAAGGTCGGTTAACTTGTATTCACATCAACAATTCGTATTATTAACATGTAGTTACATCTACCAAATAAATAAATAAACCAAACTAATCAACAACGTCAACAACGATTTGTAATCAATAACTCGTCAACAACGATTTGTAATAATGTTCAATTCTCATATCTAAGTACAATTTTAATCCATATTAAAATATAGATTTTAGTTGCACTCGGATATGCAATTAAAATCCATATTTTAATATGGAACATATAGAAAATATTTTTTGAATCAGAGAAATATTAAAGAGATTTGTTTGATTAAAAAGATCGAAAAGTGATCATAATCAACCAAAATGTTTGATCATATTTCTCTTAGTTTTACCGTAGTATAATATATTTCAATAAAGGTTTAATTATGTTTTGTATCTTCGGAATCAGAAATCGGATGGTCATGATTTAAAAGGGGTATTCCTGCATTTTGTCGAGAGAACTAAAATATTATAAAAAAATATTTTGTCCCTTACCATTAAATCACTAAATTGTGTAAATACATCTAGTCATTTGTACTAAATGTACATTACATATGTAAATGTATATTAAAAATTCTTATAAATTTAAAATATATAGGTTTGAAATACATGCATATATGAATATGCGTATGGATATTATGAACATATATATAATGTACAATTGTGTGTACCAATGGTACAGATATAGGAACCTTGCCCTAGTTAAAAAAGCTTACACCTACTTAAGTCGAAAAACGAACTTCTCAGTTCTAGCAAAACTAATTCCAACATTACTAATCATAAAGTTGGTTTTTTGATCATGAGCGATTAAACTGAAAAAGAAATCTGATGTTACCGCATTGTTAAATAAAAAAAAAAATAAAAACAACCAACCGTATTGTCAAAGTGTTGGATAGTATGTATTACAAAAGTGTCGTTTAAATATTTATTTCATAATCTATAAACGAAAATAAATAGCTTTTGGATAATGAAAACTGAATTTGGGTTTTTGGTGAAAATACACTTCCCTATGGCAAAAAAAATTAGCCGTGTCTTAGTGGAAGGAAGCGCAAATAAACTTCTTTACCAAGATCAGCATCTTTTTTATCAAGATCTATGTGTGGTAGCGTGAATCTCAAATTCAGTTGAACCGATTTTTATGAAAATTCATATCTGAGTTTACTTTACCTGAGCCACGAACTGATTTAGAGATATTCAGTTCTCCAGAACTTGGTAAAGAAACAAAAATCGATTGAAATCTAAATTTTTATAAATAACTAAGGTTAAACTGTTTTGTTCAAACTGCTTTGTTAACTGCTAATTGAATGTTCTAAAATCTTTAAAAAATTAAGTATATTTCATATTATTTAAACAATCCACTATTTTTATTTAATTCTTTATAAATACATATATGTGTAAGGAACTTTATAGAATAATGAAATTTAAATTCTTGTTTTCATAAAAGTTCCAAAAATTGATGTTTGACACAATATTATTCTCCATTTTTTGTAATATGTTTTTTTTAACTATAATCTTTTTTTTATAGGTTGAAACTGATATGATCAGTATGGAACTACAACCGTCAGTGCATATACAGCACTCAAATCATCATGGAACAAATTTAACAACATTACAAGCTCAACATCATCATGCCGGTTTGATTGGACATCATCATCATCAGCATCATCAATTAACAACAGCAATAGGAGCAGTAGATGAAAAATCAAAAAGTAAAATACTAAATTATATCTTGAGTTCCATAATGCAATAGTATAGTTTTTGTATTTAATTCAAAAATTTTTCTTTTAGCTGAATGGAACTCAAGGTCAATATGAAAAAATTAAAGTTTTTTTGGTTTTTTAAAAAAATTGCGTAACATTTGATTTTTATTTTTAATTGTAATTTTATATTAGACATTAAAATGGAAAGTTACACAAATGCAGGACTTGTTACAGCTGAATGGATTAATGTTAATGGAAGTCAAAGTGCAGGTCAGTTAAAAAAAATCCAAATTAAAATTTTTGTTACAAAATTTTTTAATATTAAAAAAGTTCAACATTTATATATTTCTCTAAAGAACATTTATCAAATTTTTTCATTACAGAAGACTCCCATAGCTCCCAAGGTAGCATTTCAGGAGATAGTAAGTATTAATTAACTTAAAATAAAACGAAAAATTAATTATTCTGTTTTTTTAATTTATATAAATAATTTACATATTTTTTTAATACTTAACTAAAATAAAATGAGTTAGGCTCAAAGTAAGTTATAGCAACTCTAAGTGTTTCCTTTAAATTTTTATTAGAATAGTTTTTAATTGTTAGTACTACAAAATTTGCATTTAACTTAGTACTCCGCATCGTTTACAGAATTTTCTCAATCATTTCTTGATATTTTGGTGAGTAGCTCAAAGTGCTGCAAGATATTTTTAAAGAAAATACGCAAATTGTATTCAAATTTATGCAAGAATTATATGCGTTCGTATGAAAATCAAATCTACATATAAAATGGTTTTCCAAATTTTTTGTTTATTTCTAAGCGATTTACACTAAAAAATCGCGTTCGTTAAGTAAGGACTAGTACAGTTAAGGCAGGTAAAATTAGAATTGTGGTTCAACATATATTACATAACATATTCAACAACATATTACATAAAAAATTTCAGATTTCTGCGATTAAGGAAGTTTTCTATAAATTTTGATGATCATCAGTAAGTGAATCAGCCACGACGACAGAGTTGTTTAGATATCTAAAATATTAGAATTATGCAATTGATACTTTACATGTTTAAAGTTAATCCACTAATGTCTTTGCATGTTAAGAATATTATTTATCGGATATAATCCAAACTCAAGTTATGGAGGTTTAAGAAACGATGAAGGTCTTTGTGAAAAAATTTGTATCTAAGTACTGTTTTGGTGGATTTATTTTAAAATCATTTCGATTAAGCTATAGCGATTCTTCTTTTTTTGTTTACAATTTCCAATTTCAATTACATACTTAGTTTAAGAAAAATAATGTACTTATAATTGTAACTTTAATGTAAAAGTTGATATAAAATGGTTCAAATAAATGTTATTTCAAGGATCCCAGACTGATTTTGTAAAAATTGGAAAAACTGCAATTATCCTAAAAAAATAAATTATCCTAAAGAAAAATTTTTCAGTATGAAAATTTTTAAATAGATTTTCGTGTATTTATAGAGCTTGTGTCATTGTGTTGCTTTAACAGAAAGTACTCAAGTTAGTCTCACTATATTTCGATATGATAAGGATCAAACAACTTGCTTTCATTCTCCATAATTGAATTTAAGTAATAATAAATTCGCACTCTGTACTTTTTGTTTTGAATTTGAAAATTGTTATAAAATATTTTTCATTAAAAATGTTGATATTTTTTTGAAAAAAAAACTCCCTTTTCTTCGGAATAAAATGCTTTTATTTTTGCAAATAATATATTTCGTGCGCTACAAATCACAGCTTCTAAGAAAATTGAACTCTTCAGTAAAAGTTGTACGTAAAGGGCCCTTAAAATTTGAATGTATAGGGAAGATTTTTCGTTTTGTGACTAAATTTACATAGAGACCTCATCGAAGGCGCCTGCTGATTCGCCATAGATGGCAATATTTAGCACCTTGTCCTCTAATTAACCGTTTTCTAGACACGGGTGCAAATTCCCCTATTTTGGAAATCGCTAAGGTTTTGTTTCACTCCTAATCCGCACTTCTTGGCACGAACACGGTGATGACGTGGGGCTTGGGGATGGCATTTTTCATCTTCACAGTCAATTCTTGGCTACCTCGTGATTCATAGCCTCCCCCAACGTGGATAGTTCCTGCTGTATCAGCATTACCGAAGGGTAGTTCTTCGCCAAAACTGCTACTTTTATGACCTTGATAGTCGCGGCATAGCTGACGCCCGTTATAGTTCCTGGAGCAGAATGTGTGGTGCTCGTTCCCACCTCATTCCTCTGGCCAGTCCGCTGGGCACGGCTCATATAACACAAATGGATTAGGAGGTTAGTTTCTGACATTCCTCTAGACCTCTTCGGCATGCTTGGACCTACCAGGCAGCGTATTTAATCAACCGGATGATTAAAATCTTTGAATATAATATCACTCCGAAATTAAAATTTTATTTGTATGAGTATTGATATTTAAATATTTTACTAAATTTCAATCACACACCATATAAATTATTGTACACCATACAATTATTTAATAAATTAATAATAATTAAACAATAAAAATTACAAATTGCGTTTAATCACAACTTTTACTTTAATGTTATATAATGAAATTAAATAATAAGATATAATTAAATTTTTGTTAAAAGTTGAGGTTACAACATTAAGAAAATGAAATTTTGTTATTGTAAATCAAATAGAAAGGTGACACACGTACTAATCCATTTAAATTTTTAGAATTTCTAAACTATCTAACCTTAAATTTTAAACACTTTTCACACTTTCGCTGACTTAATATAGGTTTTCATTAACTTGATGCAAAATGCATCACACTATTGCTGTATAAAAGGAAAACTTTGATGCACACCTACAAAAACAATTTTTATTCAAAAAAATGTACACCTTCACTTGTAAAAATTTTCTAAGAAAAACGTATCTAGTGTAAAGTATGAAGGTATGAAAGTTATAAAGGTAAAATATATTCATCTAGCAAGATGAATATATTTCCCAGTTTCAGTTTAATTGCTTTGTTTATTTTAATGATGAAGTATTTTTTGTTAAAAAAAGAAAGTAATTAGTTCATTCCTAAAATTTCAGTCAAAAAAATGTATACCTTCTATTTTTTGTTACAAAAAACAGACGAAAATCTCCGGGTGCCTCTGTCTTTGTCTTCCAAGGTTCAAATAAAGAATTTGTGTTTTCTTTAAAACTATCTTATTAATATTAAGCACTGCTGACAGAAATACAGGCCTAAGAGAGAGTGGTAGTTAACAGCTGACGAATTTACACATATTCTTATGAGATGTATAGAGGGCCCTTTTAAATATCATAAATTTCTCACAAGATCAACTGTTTTCAAATATTACATTTGAAAAAGTTAAAATTCCGTCTTTTTCTACTTTACTAGTGCTTACATTCTTAAAGTTCTGTGTTATGAAAACATTAAAAAATTCATTTAAAAAAAACTTTCTAGGTTCTGTTCATTTTCTTAAGATTTCAATAAATGCTATACTACAAGAAAAAAGAAATAGTGCAATTTTTTTTCGAGGTATTTAGTTGATTTTGGAGTATTTTTTTCAGATTTGAGAAAATATACATTTATTAACCAGTGTGCCAATTTTGTATGATATGTGTCCCAGAATGCATACTTCTTTTATAATCACATATATATCTATGTATTTTTCAGGTAATACAGGGTGTCTCCTAATAAAGTACACTGCTATATGCCATAGTATGAGCTCTCATGAGTAGACAAAACTTTTTTATGGAAACGATGTTCACAAAGGTTGGGAGCTAAAGGGGCTTAAAGTCAATTTCGGCTGGTTTTTTTACTTTTTGAAATTTTAAGTATAACTCGGCGACTGTGTAAGACTGGTGCACTAATAAATATGATTTGGGAACCTCAGAGTAAGGGCTTTGGGAACCCCAGAGAATCATATGACTTTAAAGTTCAAAAAGTTTGAAATTTTAACTTTTCATTTTTAAAAAATCTTAATTTTTAAGGTGACGTAACATTTCTCCAATTTTAGCACAGGTGGTAACCTTGATAACTGAGCTTCAATTTTGTATATCGTCGGCTGAGTGCTGTTTTGATACATACACCACTTTCGTAATTTCTAACTTAAGACCACTTTCATAGATTTTCGAAGATGATCTTTCAGTATATGTAATAAGTTTTTCGTCGTCACATTAATTATTTTCGTAGATACACCGATGTCATTTTGATCCATATCCAAAATCGTTGGCGTATGGGTCAAATTTTCATATAAATTTTTCAAAAAATTTTTGAGTGATAAAATTTTTTTGTATGACATGAATCATTATATAACATTAACTGTAAAACATAATTAAACAATCCAATTTGGCTGTTTACACAGTTTAAAAATTCTTTTTATCCGATAAATTATTTTTTAATTTTTTCACCTTACTTGTTTTTTTCACATACTTAAGTAAAGAAAAAATATTTTAGAAACTTCTTAAAACCATTAGATCGCTTAGTGTAGAAATTTTACTTTTGTTAAATATTTGTAAACCTAAAACAAATTTTTATTATTGTTATAAAATACTACTCTTTTCAAATATTTGAAAGTTTTCTTCTTATAAAATGGATTAATAACGAAATTGTCCACTATAAATTCATCTATTAATTAAATTTTGTATTAATTATAAATGCAAAAATTGAGGATTCAAAATTTTTTTCCTTTGGAATAATTTTAAAAACATCAATTTCGTTTACGATTCGACATCAACTACATACATGAGTTTATTGACCAAACTTAATATATGACTGAAGTATTTTTTATCACTTCTTAAAAGTTTTTGAAAAGCTGTTTAACACTGTTTTAAACATTTTTTAAATCTGTATAAATGACTATTATACATCAGTATAAGCCTTTCGCTGTCAAATTCAAAACATACATACCTTTCGGAGCTTTATTACTTCATATATTTAAAATTAGTACTTAGGGCTCCATGGCAGCTATTTCATAGAAACTTCTGAGACATACCTGAGCTGTGATTGAACACATGACTTTCATTAGTTTTATTAGTTTTTGAAAAATTTAAAATAATCTTCTTGAATGGCATAGCAGCTAACCGAATCTATGGTTCGAATTGTTTCCGTAAAATTAGCAATAGTTTCTGGCAGAAATAAAAAAAAAAATTTTTGAAAGTTTGGTGGTGTTAGATATTTCTTGGATAATTGTGCGAAGGAACAAAGCCACTTATCAAAATCGTCGCAGAATCTTACGCTTAGCGGGAATATATGTTTAAATGTCTAAACATCAGAAAACTCTTTCAAGTGATTACGAACTTCATACAGAATTATTAGTCTAGTGTTCAAATTATTTCAATCTAATTAGGATAAATGTTCACATTTTACGTATGTTTTAAATTTAAATTTCTTATTTTCGCGATATACTTTCTATAATACAAGTGTTTGAAAAATAATGGGACATAGAGAAGAAAACTTTTTTAAGTTAGTGCTATTTTGATCTATATCCACAAATTTTTGATCCACTGTTTGACCAATTTTTGGTCAATTTGATTTCACTATAAAGTGAAAATATTGGATCAAAAAAGTGGATATGGATCAAAATCACACTGGACCATCTCTAAGTAATTTGCTATAACTCTCGAGCCATCCCTT